CTACAACGGGTTACTATTTACCCAAAAGCAAGATCGAAATCTTCAAGTTCCCCGATAAATCTTCGAGTCAGACAACGTGTTCTTTCTTTTTATCCGTCTTCTTTCCTGAGAGAGGTTGCCACTTAAATGGTAAGCCAACGCTTAGTGAGTTAAATAGTTAAGTATTACATATCAATATCACACATGTTTATAAACATACATAATAAACTCTTATCAATAAAAGAGTTCAAGACATCATCCAGATGCAAACTGTGAAACCCAAAATTTGAGAATAAATAATTTATCCTTATTTACAATTTCTATTTTTAATTATATTAAATAGAAATTTAATAATAAGTCTAAAATCGGGCCAAAAGGGAAAGAAAAGTCAAGCCATGGGCGAAAATCAGAAGGACCTGTTGTGTAATTTTGGACCGCACAAACAGAGGAGGGCCTGCTGTCCTCGTTAGGAAGGGCAGGAAAGGGCGCATGCATGGTCTAGCCTCTTTGAGGAAACTGCGACCTGCATGGCTGCAGGCTGTAAAGAAGACAGTCTTGCAGCCTGAAAATCGGGATTTGGCCGATTTGGTCAACTAATAGGCCAAATCGCTTGGGTATAAATCAAGGATACTGGCCGAGAGTGATTATCTCTTGAGAAGAAGGAATCRTGAGCTTGAGAGAAAGAGGAACCGGAGCTCAAGACCAAGCAAGAACACCCCCTGTTTCCTCGAYGTTTGRAGGTAAATACTCGACCAAATCTTATRTTAATTATGTCTAGTGATGCCTTTGGTCGTGTATAGAACCCTGGAAGGCCCACGACCAAACCTTGGTTTTAAGGATCGATTCAAGGTTTAGATTTCATATAGTAAGCACACYGTGTCACACTGTAAAAACCACGTAGAGGCGGGCATACAGAAGCTCTGSATGAGAGCTYTRTAACGTGTTAGAAACTCTGCATGAGAGYTTCGTATCAAGTTATGATGGACAGAGGCTCGGCGTGAGAGCTCTGTGTCAAGTTATGATAGATAGAGGCTCTGCATAAGAGTTMTGTATCAAGTTATGAGACAACCAGAAGRGCTCTGGTCCTGAATGAGTTATTTTCTAAGTATTATTTAGAACCAGAGGYTCTGGTCGCGAGACCAGAGGCTCTGGAGAAGAGACCACAGAGRGGCTCTGGCCCGTGAATTATTTTCCAAGTATGGTTGGAACCAGAGGCTCTGGTCATGAAGACCAGAAGCTCTGGAAGAGAGACCAGAGGGGCTCTGGTCCTGCGTTGAAATATTTTCTAAGTGTGGCTAAGAACNGGTCCTGCGTTGAAATATTTTCTAAGTGTGGCTAAGAACTAGAGGCTCTGGTCATGAAGACCAGAAGCTCTGGAAGAGAGACCAGAGGGGCTCTGATCCTGCGTTGAAATATTTTCTAAGTATGGCTAAGAACCAGAGGCTCTGGTCATGAAGACCAGAAGCTCTGGAAGAGAGACCAGAGGGGYTCTGGTCCTGAATACAAATATTTTCTAAGTGCGATTTAGAACCAGAGGATCGATGGACGGGTTACTAAGTGTGATTTAGAACCAGAGGATCGATGGACGGGTTACTAAATATTTTCTAAGTGTGGTATACAACCAAAGGGGCTCTGGTCCTGAAGGACTTAAGAGCCCAGTGGCTCTGTCAATACCACCAGAGGCTCTGGTCGTTCACAGAGGCTCTGGCCTTCTTCCAGACTTAGTCATTTTAAGATAGATAGCTAGACAATACACCTTATGTTGGAACTCACGTTTCTATAATGTTGATTGATGTGAGGAGCATTTAAGCATAGTTGACCAAGGTTGACCCTAGCCAACGTAGTTGACCGTAAGTTGACTTTTATGTAGCCTTTGGGAGAAATTAATCATTTATATGCTATATGCTATTATGAATTGTAGGTTACCAGTCGGCGCTGTTAAGTAAACTATCAACGTTATCAGGTGAGTCTTCATAAGACTTACACTGGGATGCATACCTACGTATAAACTTAGTTGCAAGCATTATATGATTTATATGATGATGGTACAAATGCATGATGTTTCAAGTTACATACATGATATGTTTTACATGTATGACGTTTTTATGATCAGTTGCATGCTATGTGTTTAACCAGTTTTCGAATAACTCTAGCATGTTTTCTATATCAAAGTTTGATCAGTTTTAGTGGGTGAGCATTTGACCAAAAAGTCACATGACAAGTGGCACGACCCAGTAATGAGTGTTTAGGCAGATACAGTCGGACAACTCAGGGAATGCCAGTGACTAAAAGTCACGTGACAAGTGGCACGACYCAGTAATGAGTGTCTAGACAAGAGCAGGGCTGACGACTCAGGGAATGCCAGTGACTAAATGACTCGTACYCGACAGTTAAATCATGAGATCTCATGTGTTCAGTATTTACAGAAATTGCATGTTACAAGTTGGTTTAAAGTTCACAAGTTGAAATGTATGACGTACAATGATTTATGCACGAAAACCATGAACTCACTGAGCTTTATAAAGCTGACTATAGTATGCATCTCAGGCCCAGGTAGTTCGAGGACGGATACAAGCAAGGGACAGGTATAGGGAGTTGCCTATTGTCATCTTGTTTTTAGTCTTTTGTCTAAAATGCACTGTAATGATCTTTTGTAACTCAACCCCAAAAGTAAGCGGGTTAGAACTTGAGTTAAGCTTGATAATTTCAAAGACTTCCGCTGTAATAGTTTAGATGGTTTTAAATTAGCCATCTTTTTGGGTGCATTTATGAAGGAAAAGGATTCAGATTACGTAACATTTCTTTTGAATGAAAATGAGGGTGTTACAAGTTGGTATCAGAGCTTTAGTTTAAGGTAATTGGGCTAAAACTTGTTTAGCTTAAGCTTAAACTGGGAAGATTGTTAGAGCCTTAGTTTAAGGTGAAGAGGTCAAGATTTACTTAGCCTAGGCTTAAACAGAGAGAATAATTAGAAGCACATGTTCATTGTGTAGTCGCGTTGCTTAGCATGCAATTAAGCTTGATCCTACGTCACTACTCGACTTAGTGATCCTTTTTAAATTATAGGGAAAATGGTGCACACCATCCACACCAGATCGATCAGGTGTGGCCGCGGGCGCGGTTACGGAGCACGTAGAACACCGCACGGGCTAGGACCAAATAGGGGACTCATGGACAATCGCCGCCCCAGCGCCAGTCATGTTTCCCGCTCAAGGACCAGAAGCAATAGTCTGGCCGACAACTGTGAGGTGTCGTCGCAAGAGCCAAGCGGGAGGAGGACCACATCCGAACCATCGATGGATTACACGCCCCGCACCCCGACACGTGAGGATATGATAGAGACTATAGAGACCCTGGAGGGCGAGAACACAAGGCTAAGAGAGAGGGTGACCCGAACGTTAGATGAAAATACTAGACTGAATGAATGGCTGAACAATCTTCAGCGGACACATGTCGAACAAGGAGGAGCCCTGATCGAGTTGACTGAAGAAAATGCAGATTTGTCAGACCAGTGTCATTCCCTGATTTGGGATAAGGTGGTACTCGAGCAAGAACGAATGATTGCCACTCGCCCCGTAGGCACCAGAATCAAGGACAGGGTTCGCTTCTATAAAAGAGTGACCATGGACTATGCGGGCGTAGTAGAGGGCTATCTCTCCAACTGGGTTCGATGCATCAGAAATGGCCCAAGGGCTAGTGTGTTGTGGCGCTCCGTACCATCTACATCCTATGAGCAGTGGTTGAGGGACCCTTATCTCCCTTATTACCCAACCGATCAGTTCTAGACTTAGAGTCCTTTTGGGAAAAGAGGGAGAGAAATCTTTTGGGTATGGAATGTAATAGTGAAGGTTTAGATAGCTGATCGAACTATCAATAGATCTCTTTTTGAACAATCACATGATTTAGCTATGTGTCAAAATTTCGTGAATCCCATCTTTTGTAGGTAAATGGGATTTTGTAATATGTCTCTCCCCGAGATTTTATGGAATATAAGTATATCTTTTTAGCATTACGGAATTTTTGGCACTAGTTTCATATTATGCATTCCGCCTGTATATAGCAATTATTTATATATGAATGGAATGAGTACGTTGACTTTAGAACCTTACTGAAATAATAGCACCCTATGTTATCAGTATGGTTTCTCGTGGATCAACAAGGAACGCTCTCAATGATGGAGGCATTAATAGCGTAGCCCCACCGGCAGTCCGGGGACGGACGCGGGCCCAGGGTCGAGGTCGCGAAAATACCCGAGCTGCTAATTCAAGTACGGCCCCATCCACGCTAGCTAGTTTGGCTATCGGTAGGAGCCAAGGGGATCAAGGGGAAGAATTTCCTCTCACGAAGGAAACAATGGCGGAACAGATGGCACAAGTCCTCCGGGACACATTGCCAAATATGCTTAAGGAATTGTTAGGCGACCGATTTAAGGATAATGAAGAAGGAAGGGAAGAAAGTGTTCAACATGAGAACACTCAAGCCACCGGAAATATGGAAGTATCTGACAAGGAGAAGGTAGAATCGCCCATCATGGGGATCACTGGGTTGGCAACAAAAGAGAGAGGATGCAGCTTTAAAACGTTCAAGGGCACCGGGCCAAAGGAATTTAAAGGAATAGAAGGCCCAGTCGGCCTGATGAACTGGATAGCCAAGATGCAAAGCTGTTTCAAAATTTGTAGGTGCGCGGAAGAACAAAAGGTAACTTATGCTGCTACGACCTTTGTGGACTATGCACTGCACTGGTGGGAGACTGAGTGCGCAGTCAGAGGTGATGAGGAGATTGCTGCCATGGCATGGGAGCAAATGAAAAAGATGATGATGGATAAGTACTGCTCGCAAACAGAGGTGAACAAGCTAGAATCCGAATTTCTAAGGTTGAAGCAAGGATCGTTGTCAGTACAAGAATATGTCAACGAGTTTCTTGAAAAGGCAAGGTTCGCAAGTATCAGGTGGCCATCGAGGAGAGAAAGATAGGCCGTTTCAAGGATGGCTTAAAAATCGAGATCAAGCGGTATGTAGACATGACTAAACTAGCCACGTTTGTACAAGCAGTGGAGATGACAAAGGTGGCGGAAGAGAACAACGCTAGAGAAGGTAGTGATAGAAGAGAGGCGAAGAGAAGATGGGAAGGATCGAGCAAGTTCCACAAGAAATCCAAATGGATTCCGACTTCGACAAAAACCCGAAGTGAGGAACTCACTATTCCTCTATGTAGCAAATGCAACAAGAGGCACAAGGGAGAGTGCAGGGCGGGGAGCCTGACGTGCTACCGGTGTGACAAACCGGGGCATACCGCACGGGAATGCCCGGAAGGAAGGACATGTTATGAATGTGGAGCTACGGGACATTTGCGCCCTGACTGTCCAAAACGTCGCAATAGTGCGACACCCCACGGGAAGACGGGGAATAACGGATTTGGAAGAAGACCGGAAGGTAGGAAGGAGCTACCTAAGGGACACGGCCGAGCTTACATCATGACTTTGGAGGAGGCCAAGGAAACACCGGACGTCGTATCTGGTATGTTCCCTATCAACAATGTGTATGCACATGTGTTATTTGATTCGGGTGCGAATGGTAGTTTTGTGTCTACTGCTTTCTGCCACTATCTGGATAAGAGTGCCTGTAGGTTAGACAAAACCTACACTGTAGAAACAGCCAACGGTAGTCAGTGTAAGGTAGACGAAGTATTTGATGAATGCACGATCGTTATAGATGGAAAGGATTTCCCTGTAAAGCTTATGCCAATGAGCCTAGGAGGTTTTGATGTAGTCTTGGGGATGGATTGACTGTCCACCAATCATGCACAAATAGTATGCAATAAGAAGATGGTCAAGATTCAAACTCCAAAAGGAGAAACGATCCAGGTTTACGGTGATCGAAAGAGGGGTTGCGTAGGGATGATCAATGCCATTAAGGCAAATAAGTGTCTACGAAAGGGTTGCGTAGCCTACTTGGCATACGCCATCGACGCCAAGCTTGAAAAGAAAGCAATACAAGATGTACCAGTGGTAAGGGACTACCCGGATGTATTTCCGGATGAGTTGCCAGGAATACCCCCGGAACGTCAGGTAGAATTCCGAATTGATCTGATGCCAGGTGCGGCACCAATCGCAAGGGCACCTTATCGTTTAGCCCCAACCGAAATGCAAGAACTGATGAAGCAATTGCAAGAGCTCTTAGATAAAGGATTTATTAGGCCAAGCTCATCGCCATGGGGAGCACCAATTTTATTCGTCAAGAAAAAGGACAGCACGATGAGGATGTGCATCGATTATCGGGAACTGAACAAAATCACGATAAAGAACAGGTATCCTTTGCCAAGGATCGACGACCTTTTTGATCAGCTGCAAAGAGCCAGCTGTTTCTCGAAGATCGATTTGAGATCAGGCTACCATCAGTTGAAGGTTCGAGAAGAAGACGTATCAAAGACAGCTTTTAGGACTCGATACGGGCATTACGAATTTGTAGTAATGCCGTTCGGATTGACAAACACACCTGCGGCATTCATGGACTTAATGAATCGAGTCTGTGGTCTGTATTTGGACCAATTTGTCATAGTCTTTATAGATGACATTTTGATCTATTCGAAGAATAAGGAGGAGCATGAGCAACACTTAAGATTGATTCTTGAACTGCTAGCAAAGGAGCAATTGTACGCCAAATTCTCAAAATGTGAGTTTTGGTTGCATGAGGTACAATTCCTCGGTCACGTAGTCAACGCGGAAGGGATCAAGGTGGACCCGGCTAAAATTGATGCAGTTATGAATTGGGAATCGCCAAAGTCAGTATTGGAGATCCGAAGTTTTCTAGGCCTAGCTGGGTATTACCGAAGGTTCATCCAGGATTTTTCCAAAATAGCAACGCCTTTGACGACGTTGACTAAAAAGTCGGTTAGGTTTGATTGGGGAACAAAACAAGAAGAAGCGTTCCAGATACTTAAGGAGAAACTAAGCACCGCACCGGTTTTATCCCTACCGGAAGGAGTAGAAGATTTTGTCGTGTATAGCGATGCGTCAAAAATGGGATTAGGTTGTGTGCTAATGCAGCGAGGCAAGGTCATTGTATATGCATCACGACAGTTGAAAGAACACGAGAAGAGATACCCAACTCACGACATGGAATTAGCAGTGTTGTCTTCGCGCTAAAAATCTGGAGACAGTATTTATACGGCACCAAGTGCGTGATCTATACCGATCATAAGAGTCTTAAATACTTGTTTGACCAAAAGGAGCTAAATATGAGGCAAAGAAGGTGGATGGAACTAGTTAAGGATTATGATTGTGAGATTCACTACCATCCAGGCAAGGCAAATGTAGTTGTCGATGCACTGAGTAGGAAGGAGAGAAACGGACCAATCAGGGTTCGAGCCATGTGGATGAGTGTTAAGGTGGAGCTTCTAGACCAGATACGGGATGTCCAGAAGGAAGCTTTACACGAGACAAACATTAAAAAGGAGAGAATGATTAGGCAAATCAAGACTCTGACAGCTGGACCAGATGGAATATATAGGCATGGGAATCAGATTTGGATTCCTAGTTTAGGTGATCTAAGAAATGTAGTGATGGACGAAACACATAAGTCTAAATACACTATGCACCCAGGTAGTAATAAGATGTACAAGAACATAAAAGAAAGCTACTGGTGGCCTGGTATGAAGAGGGCGGTAGCTAACTATGTGGGGAAATGTTTGACGTGCTTGAAAGTGAAGACTGAGCATCAAAGACCATCTGGAATGTTGCAACAAATGGAGATCCCAGTATGGAAGTGGGATATGAT